ATATCATTCTAGGCTGGTTGGTTATTGATCGAAGTTTACAAAATTTGGAGATTTGGAATCCTTACAACTGGCAAATTTTGAATACAAGGTCGCCTAAGAAAAGGTTGGATCCAAATTTTCACTTAATGTAATTTCTCAATACGTAAAATCTACACAAATTTTTTAGTTTTTCATACTTGTGTTTCAAATATTTTGGTGCAGATAAGAACCTTTACACCATTAGAGCCATTGTATTTTTGTATAGAGAAATGCTAGAATGTCAGGGCTTTTTGTCACAAGCCTTTTAGAAGCACTCACAAACAGGTAGAGGGTGGGAATTTTTGGGGTATTTTTTTAATGATGTGGGGCCCATCTGTTTGTGAGTGCCTGTAAAAGGCCTGTGAAAACAGTACCTGGACATTCTAGCATTTCTCTTTTGTATACTTGGTCAATACATAAAAACACTCCAACACTGGGTAATATATCATATTGGTTCATCCTCACGTCTGCTTATTGTGAACCAGTGATTGTTCTTATATTCAATATTTATGGATTAACTTTTTATAACTCATTCTTCTGAGAACTTGTATGGCACTTTTTTGTGTAGTTTACATATGGTTCATTGAACCCCCCCCCCCCAACCCCAAAACCCAACAAATTGGAAGAAGAAGATGAGGGGGTTGAAACTCGATCAAATAGAAAGGGGCATTTGTAATAGCTGCTGGATCTATTATGTTTTGAAAGTAGATATGCAATTTTGTCTTTACGAAAGGTTTCTTAAATAGGACGTGATTATATTTTTGAATATACCATTTTACCTGCAAAGACTCATTTATAGTCCTAATATTATTCAACAGAGGAAAATGCAATCAAGATCTAGTACTATGAATTAGAACATGGCAATTATAAGTCATATGAGATGCAAAATGGGAGAACCATGTTTCACCAATGGCAATGTTACATGTTGTGCAATTTATATTACTCTAAATCCCAATACTTTATTGTGAATTTTATGAAAATGGACATGGATACTTTTCACGTATTTCATAACATACTATGATGACATCCATTATAATGACTCAAATTTCATTGATAATAAATTTGAAGTTGTCAATGATCAAGAAAGTGGTTTTCTGTTTCAAGTTCTAGTGTTCTTTATTTTTATGTTGGGAAACTTTTAGTGTTTTGATCAATCCTTATGGATGAAAGGCTCAAACATCTCCAATATAATGGAAGTCGTTATGCTTCGTCTTATGACACATTTTCAAGTTCTTGGAATATTTGTAGCTAAATTTGATCATTTTATAAATACTGCAATTACATTCTTTGCAAGTCTATCATACTAAAGTAACATGGTAACAGTCTTGACATTTGAGTCCTATTTCTGTTCACATCAAATTTTGGTCGAGTAAAACTAACTAGCATGTTTTATATATAGCCCCTATTGGGTGGGTATTAAAATCGGATTTCTAGTAAATTTTGATAAAAGTGGATGAAATATGTGGTTCAAAAATTATGAATCTCATGAAATATATTATTAAATTAATTGTTGACTTTGACTAAGATTAACCCCTACCAAACCAGAGGATAGAATTTATTATATCTATAAATTACATGATATGTATGCGGTAGAGAGAGTTTCACATTAATTGATTGAACATCGGTGATGTTAATTGGATTGGACCGATTGAATCAAATAATATTTTCTTTGGCTTGAGTTCGATCCACTAATCGATCTTGACCCATTTCCCTGCCTCTATGTATAGGTGAGTTCATATTACGATTAAGTACATTATTTTGAACCTCGGCCAAATTCCATCACCATTTTCTATTGCATTCACCCTTCTCTTTCGAGTAGTTGGCTTGATCGCCAAAATGTAAAAGATTGTAATTTTTTCTAGGTCAATGACATTTGCACTCTAAACGAGATGGACAATATTCAGTTGACCACTCAATCAGGCAAATTTTTGAGATCAATAGTATTAAACATGTTATAGTCTTTTACAGTTTAACAATTTTGACAACAAAGTGAGAAAAACTAAAAGATAGTTTTAGCTCTAAAGTATATATATCCAACCAAATTAGATTTTAGATACATATCGGTGGACTAATGAAAACTTTTGAATTTTTATATTGGAAAATGAAATGGGCTAAAATTGATGTACAAAAATAGACCTATCGACCAACGAAAACTTTTGAATTTTTGTATTGGAAAAATGAAAGGACAAAAATTTGTATAAAAATACATGAGTTATATATAAGAATACGTGAGTGATTAGTCACAAAATAAGTTGCAAAAAACAATGCAACGAATGAAATGAAATGTCAAGTACGACATAAAGAGTTTGTTTGATTTTTTTTTTTAAAAAAAAAAAAATACATTTTTCTCTTTCTTCCTTTCGATCACATTTTTCAATAAAATAATGTTACTCACAAATCCAAAACTTTTTCTTATTTTTTTAACCACACATTCTCAATCAAAATATATTCTTTCCAAAAATGGGGGTCAAACATGTCCAAAAACCGTCCCCTCAAAAGAAAACGGCAACATCTATTACAATCATAATCACCAGAAGGGCATAATTGCCATTTTCAAAATATTTTAATTGTATTAGATTTTTATTTTGAAAAAATAACATAACACAGCTAAACTTGAGTAGGAAATTGTTAGAAATGAGATTTTATTAAAAGGGGATCCACGAGTTTATATAATTATCAATAATGCACTAAGAGCATGCAATAACGGCTATCACCGTATCACCCCATGAGAGACCAGCTATTAGTGCACCAATTTAATGTTTTGACGGACTAACTTGAAGAGGGAAATTTGAAGCATATTCAAAATCCACCGTTGCAATATAGAATACACTAACAAAGATCAGAAAAACTATTGATGTTTTGGGCATTTTATGTTAATATATAATTTCAAATTCCAAAACAACGTTATTTTTAGATGTTATGTCATCAATTATATGTTCAGATACTCTTTGATCCTCTGAACTTGATCTCCTACCTAGTTTATTGCAAATAAAGCTTCCATGGACTATTTATATTCTCGAGTCCTTAAAATAGATGGCCAAGATTTACTTGACCATTCGTTGGCCATTAATCTTCTCGACTTCTCTATATGATATTTACATATCAAAACCCTCCAGCCTTCTACACATGTTTACTTCTCCTATCCAAGGAACATTCTATAATAGAGGATCATCTTACATTCTCCGTATCATATTAGAATGCCTCCAAGGTTACTCTCATGGAATGCTCTAGATTTGGAATTCTTTTCACTGTTCTACAACCTTCTAGAGTCTTTCCAGATGTGTGGGATGTTGGCCTCCACTTTCTGCTAGCCTCAATGCCTAGTTGTGTACTTGTATCCGACCTTTGATTGTAACTGCATCTCCCTTAGTCTTCAACTACATTCCCACTGCCCATCTGCATTTGCCTGTCCTGCAAACCACTTTGGCAAGGACCTTGACACACCAGTGTTTAGTGAACGGTCATCCACCTTGCGCACTCCTAGTACTACTATTCTTAGGACCCGTTTGGCACGATTTCTAAAAAGTTAAAAAGAGTTTTCGATTTTCAAAAGAAGTTTTTAAACCCCCTTTGACTAATTTTATGAAAGTACATCTTCTAATTAGAAGAGCTTTTAGAGGAAGTTGGTTCAATGTGCTTTCCTCTAAGAATACTTCTGGAATAGAAACATTTTTGAAGAATTAATTTACAAATAAAAGTTAAAATAACTTCATCCAAAATCTATTTTATAGAAAGGAAAAACGAAAACGAAAACCATGTCAAATGAGCCCTTAATTTTCTTGTTTCTTGTTTTGTTCTTTGAGGTCATTGATCAAAGTAGCCATGAATTTGAATGATGCACCTGTTTGTCTTTGTGGTTTCCTTCGTTTCTTTATTTTCTTACTTGGTGGGAACATTGTTTGTTAGGACATCTATATTATCCATTTGCAACATATGCCAATCATTTTTTTATGTTTCAGATTACACTGTATTAAGAATTACACCTCTAATTAGAATTCATGAAGTTTTGATAAAAAATAGTGAATAATACTAGTGAAATAGTATATAGTAGTCATTATCTCTAAATATCTTATTTATTCGTCCTAAACCCATTTTCTCCATCCCTTTTATCTTATTCATTTAGGCTTAAGAAATTATAAAGACAAATCATATGATCCACCATTTGACTTGAGGGAAAATTAAGATGGAACTCCCAACCTGGTGTGATTGTGGATTCCAACATATTTAAGTCAATGAATCTAAATCCTCACATGACAGAAACCTTCGATGTAGAATTAAAATTGCACATCTTTCACATGAGTTCAAGCAACAGCAACATTATCTTAAGTGAGTATACTGGTTTGGCCGTCCTCTTCAAGTCATGGGAAAGTCACGTTCGATTTTGACATATACATTGACGAGTTCCATCACATAAGGACATAGATTTACATATTTAAATAAGTTGAAGATCAAGAACCAAACTAAACGAAAAGTTAGAGAGTTCTCAGTTCTAATTTTCCCCATTTACCTAATGTTTTTCACCTTATACGTTCTAATTTGGTGAGCCAAACACATCCTTAATATAAAAATAAAAATAAGAGAGTAAAATGATGGATGTCAAATAAGGTGTAAATCGAGCCATACCAAACCAAACCATGTCCCAATTTTGAGACGACTCATGTCTGGTCATCCCTTAGCTTGGCATCACCTTTTTTTCAAGCACGTCGAGCCCAAAAATTTCTAGGAACAGACAATGTTGAACCAGACCCTGGCAGGCTGAATCAGTCTGTATGGGATTTTACAGATTATTATTGTTGTTATTATTATTTTTTCTTTAATTGAAATGTAGGAATAGTAAGTTTTAAAAAAAAAATTGAAAAAAAAAGGGAAAAGTTATGGATGAAGCCAAATAACTCCCTGCAACAGAGTTCCATGAGGAAGTCAGCTGACATGCAAAATGGCCCCATCACCCCGCCCAACTACCCCAAGAGAATGAAAAAAAGTAAAGGAATACAAATGGAAGCATATGCCTTTCGTATAAACATTAATAGCACATATTTGTACCAAACTCAACAAATCCATAAAAACCTAAAAGTAGAATAACCAAAATTAGATTTCAAATGAATCTTGAACTTGCAAAATTGACTCTCGAGACAGTAGAACTGATCTTAGGAGTGTGTCCGTCTCCTATGATTTTGTTTCAGCGTACATCATTCCAGTTGGCACCAATTAAGCAAGAAAACATTCAAACTAACAGAAATGAGGAGCTCGGAACTTCTTACATTAAATGTCTGATGATGGTTTAACTTTCTCCCTCAGAAACTGTATTATGTGTTCTCGTTTCCAATTATCAACTCTGCAGAAGACGCCGCAAACAAAATCAAATGCCAAGTGAACAACAATGACAAAGCAATCAAAATTAAGAAATGTAAAGTCTAAAGGAAATATCTATCACAGGATGTTTGACATGTAGAATGATTGAACAGTAAAACAGAAAAGATTTTTGCTTATTTTTCCTCACTTCTCTTTTCATTCCTTTTCAACAATGAAAAAAATCAAAAATCAAAAAGCAGTTTAACATTTTAGGATTGTACTCATTGATTGGGTATGTAATAAAATTCAGCCTAAATTTCAAGTGGCTTGAAATGGCTGGGGAGAGGAAGAGAATGAAAAAGAACATTCTAACAACTCAGTTGTTCAAATCCGATAATGCTTTTTGGGATGCCGCTCCACAAACAGAGCGAATGAATATAAATCAATATGTTTCGGGTACTCAAAGGAACACATTGGATAGGGGTTGAAGCTCAGAGGATTAGAACATGTGGCTACAATTATAATGCCAGGGGGGTCAAATTCAATGTTGTCTAGTCTACCTTGTCAAATGTCATTAACGTTTTGAATGAGCATTTTATAAAATCAAAACTAAATCCAACCTGATGGTTTCCTTCAGTTGTCCATCATCATCCAGCATGTTCAATTTTGGTGGAGAATTAAAGGCGTACTGAACTTTCACGTTCGGAAATTTATCCTTCTCTTCCTCGATAAAACCAACAATTTCAGGATAAAAGACCAGTTTTCTCATGCAGACCTCTAAAATTGCACCAGCATATATAACCTGCAACCACGTTCAGATTTGATGCATTGATAATACCCCTCTATTAGCGGTAAATGCAAGTGAAAAAGAAATTTAGATGAGTAAATAAAGAATTTCAAGAAGACAAACAAGTTGGCTAAGAGTTCTCGTTCCAATAGATACATTAAGAGTAAACAAAATGTTGAATCCAAAATAAATAAATACATTATAGGAGACAGAATATTAGACGATTACACTCACAGAATTTGACTGTAACAGATGTTGAGAATGTTAGAACAAATTCTGGGCACATTTAAGAGAGGTCACAGTAGAGAAGGCACAGAGATTATTACTAATGAAAGCATTTAGATGAATATGTAGACCTAAATGGACATGAAATGAAACAAGAAGCACGGGTAAAGTGCATAAAAACTAAGAGTGAAGCATTGCATAGCTTCGCCTCAGATGGTTTCTCTTCGATTATCATCAGACCAAAAATCTTAAGCCACGAGATTAAATATGATTAACTACTATCAAAGACGATTTTTAGTCCCCGGTTGTCCATGACGATTTTCTTCTCATTCTCCCAAGGTAACACCTTGCAACCCTGCAACAACACCACCTTCTTCATGTCCTCCCCATTTTATTGACGTGTTCACTCCTTCCAATTGAGATTAAGCCTACCAAGATGTCATGGGCACCAACTAAGAACCGACCATCTTTTTGGAGGATTGAAAGTTACAGGGCCAAAGAAAAAGAAGCACAGTATAATTTCAGGTTGAATGGAGTTCAGATAGAGGGGATTTTTTATTATTTTATTATTTTTTATTTTTTCTTTTCGGTAGGTATATACATCCTGTGGTTTAAATGTACTCTCTCTTAACTTTTTGTAAATGAACCATATGGAAGCACCAATTCTACCTGCATATGAAACCACAAATTCTATAGAACAAAATGTTCTAAGATAGTATAAACCAATTGCCAACGCTAACCATACCTTGCTTGTGGCATCATCAGAATCCTCAGAGCAACACTTCAAACAATCAGACACTAGCTCTGTGGCAATTGGAAATTAATAAATAACTTGCTATAACTTAAACATGGTGAAAAATGAATACAATTCCAAGGGTGATAAGAATAGAAAAAAGTTGTAAATATGTTATTTTAAAATATCATACTAACGAAGAGATTATTCTAGGAATACTGAATATGCCTACCGAGAATGATTATGATTTAAATGATAGTTGTTTTGCCAACTATTTCTTAAAAAGAAGCTTTTACAAGCATCATGACCTCAAATGATTACTTTCTACATAATGTAAAATGAAAGTATCGATTTAGACAAGCACTATTCTGGGAACAAATCTTTGTGCATATTACCCTTATCTACTATGAATACAAAAAATGCTCGTAAATCTTTCGAAAAATGCATTTCAGTGCATAAAACATAGTAGAAAATTAGCACAGCCCAATGAAATATAAAACTTCCTTGAAATGAAGAAAACTCAAAGATTAAACGTTTTATTGCTATCTGCCTACAAAAAATGCTCGTAAATCTTTAGAAAAATGCATTTCAGAGCGTAAAATAGAAAATTAGCACAGCCCAATGAAATATAAAACTTCCTTGAAATGAAGAAAACTCAAAGATTAAACGTTTTATTGCTATCTGCCTCTATTATTAATATTATTCCCGCAATTTAGAGGAATTCAATGATTCGAATTCATCAAAAATCAATACAAATATGGAAGGGAAAAATTTTATATTTCCAATCCCAAGCTACCAAAGGCACTTCTGTTTATATATATCTTCAGGGTCCAAATAAGAAACCTTTTTGCAAACAATCAATCAAGAAAACTAGCAAAACAATAGCACACAATCACAAACACAATTTAGAGGAATCCCATATCTGCAAACCCAGAAAATAAAACTACTGGAAGAAAACATATACATAGAAATTGTATCCATAACTTTACTAGTAATTTAATGCCCAGAAAAATAGGCATTTATACAATTTAGAGTAACAAAATAATAAAAACGTTTAACTAATAACTTGCGTCGCGGAATTGGGGATCTTCAGGGTCCAAAGAAGGAATTTTTTTTCCCATCGCAATCAAAGAAAAATCCACACAAACATAATTTAATGAAATCCTACATCATCTTCAAAACCCAGTAACTAAAGTAACTGGAAGAAAATATATAGATAGAAATTATATAATACCTTGATCTTTGATGTATTCAGCAAAGGTGTGGCAATCGGAGCATAGAGCTAGGCCCGTGAAACCCAGATTTTCACATTCTTTGGTGCTCAGATGCTGATCTGCTTGAGCGAAACCAATGAAAAATGCAAATAATAATACTAAACACATCGTGTAGTAGCACATTCTGCAGTGTTTTTTCTTGTAAATTCCTGGGTATTTTTTACTTTATTGTAGAACAGTGAAAGAGGGAAGGGCCAATTAAAAGTCAATATTAGTTATCAGTACCACTGTTTACCCAGGAGCAGGACTGCAGATGTAAAGTCATCTAAAAATGAGAAAGAAGGGCGAGACCTAACCTTGTCGGTGTCAAGCTTGGGAGGGATTAGCTCGAACAATTGGAAGTCAATAAAATTAGCCCACATACCCTTTTTTCTAAAATAAAAAATTTGCCTTTTTTTAATTTAATTAATTTTTAATCTACTTAAGAAAGTACTTAACCATAAACACCATAGTTCTATTGTATAGATAATTGACTAACTCTAGCCCTTGATTGATGGCCATTATTTGTTCAGAACAATGTTTTGAATAGTAAATTTTTAGAGAATATGTATTTAAACAATAGAAAAAAATTTGAATTTACATGCAGAATATTATATTGTTTAAATATGTGATTAAAAATAAGTATGCAGAATAAAATAAAGAGTTTTGAAATAGTAATTGTCACTCAATGAACTAACTTTAATTCAATTACTCACTAATCCTAATCCTCCCAACTCCTACCTACTGTTACGCTCCGATCTGATACGCCTCGGAACGTGCACCACCATATATTCCGACCTGATAAAGATCCGTTCGAAGTGTTTCCGAAGTGATATCAGCAATATCTGCAACCTAGTAGCGCGCTGCGAAATAAAAGCGATCCCTACTACTGACCTAACCGAAGCACCTGCCCCGAGGCTAAGACCAAGTGGACCCTGGTTAGAAGATCCACCACCAATTTCAGAAAGGGACTTGTACCAAGATCCTTCCTGCACCTAAAGTTTAAATTGATTTGACGTCTCCATGAGGCTAGTTGATATGACTTATCAACTTTATATCAATTCAATTTAGAAGAAACAAGTTGTCCGTCCACTCTGCAGACGCGGCTGATTGACGCCTATGAGCGGACGCCTCATACCGTCAGATGTATACACGCGTCCCACATCCAACAGCTCATACTACCTATAAATACCCAAGGTTTGGTAAGAGGCAAATGTAATGAAACTCTTACTACATAACACTCCATAGCAAGCTTATATATTTTCTCCTCCTCCTTATCATTGATTTGCACAACCCCCGGGTACTATTCCGACCACTTAAACCTGACTTGACCGTCGGGGTGTATACGGCTGCCACCACCCTCGCTGGTCCCGACCGTGTGCGTCTGACCATTCGCTGATTGTGTACAGGGAGAAGTAAGTGGAGTAGCTCTCGGTTGACCGCGTGAAAGGACCAATTTTCGAGGTCAACAGATTGGCGCCGTCTGTGGAAAATACTTCCCATTCGAAGTTTTGCATTCTCCATCGAAAAAGTTACCGGAAAACTAGCGACTAATCCTGAAAAGGGGACGTTTTTCGAGTTACAATCTAAGTTCTCACCACCCTTGAAAAAAGAGATAGGATGAGCTATAGCCATGAAGACGACAATCCCATGAGAGAGGCCTCTGAAGAAGAGGTACTCCATAACAATGTTACTCATCAGAGACGACATCACCGACGTCGCCGAGGTGGAAGAACAGCCATACTCACTGAAGGAATGGCTCAGATAGCTGCAGGTATGAGAGACATCGCAGCTTAGAATATGGCAATGCATGAACTGCTCATGCAAGCCCAGGGTCATCAGGGCTATCAAATGCCCCAAGGATCTTATCCGGTGCGGGAAGCCCCTGTATCTCACTCCCGAGGCCACATGAGCCGGCACACAGAACGTCCCCTCGAAAGGGAGATGAACGCTGAAGCCACATCTTATGTGCAAGGGAGCCAGCCATCAGAACCACACTTGGGGGACAATTTTCCTCAAGAACATGAGGACCAGAGGTCGGTAAGCGTCTTTGATCGGATAGAAGAGGGTCTTAGCAATAGGGTCCGCCCAGCAAGAGGATCAGTTCATCCAGATCACGAACAAGAACATGCTCCCCCTCCTCCTAGAAATAGGAGAAACAGGAGGAACCTAGTCGATTGGGAAAGTCGAAGAGAAGCACCTCCACCTCCCCAAAACATCCAAGATGATGAAGGGTTAGATGGGCCCTGTCGATCTTATGAGATTGACGATGATGATGATAACCTCCCTTTCTCAAGGGAGATCCGAAGCTTCCCAATGCCAGCAAATTTTATGCCTCCTAATATCCCCAAGTATGAAGGAAAGGGGACCCGGAGAAGCACCTCACCAAGTATATGACACAGATGAGCCTAAGGGGAGCCTCGCCTACTTTAAAATGCAGAGCCTTCCATTTAACGCTAGGCGGGGCCGTCGAGGTATGGTACAACAGGCTTCTTCCCCTAAGCATAAGAAGTTGGCCAGATTTGAAAAAAACATTTTTGAACCAGTACCTCTCACGCAGGAAAGGAGAGGCACCAGTGCAACGCCTGCAAGATATGAGGCAGGCCCCTGGGGAGATGCTGAAAAGCTATCTCGCCAGGTTTACAGACGAAATCACCTACTGCGAACAGGTCACTGACAGAGAAGCCCTTTCAGCCCTGAAAGGTGGGCTCAACATGAACACTTTGTTCTGGAGGGATGTGCGCAGCAAGAATCCCTCCACATATGACGAGCTGGTGAAAATGATGAGAGTGAAAATTGTCAGTGAAGAAATAATTGATCATCGCAACCGTGCCGCGCAGGGACTTCCTCCTCCTCAGAGGCAGGTAGGTCGAGGACCCGCACACCTTGTTACTCAGCAATGGACCCAAGCAGGTCATATAATAGCTCCCACATCCGGACAGGCCCTAGCTTCTGCCACATTGAATGCAGTACTGGTGTTGGCATATGATAATGCCCCTGCCAAAGCAGGACCATCTGGAAGAGCTGATAACAAGAAGAAGAAGAAGAGGTCAAACAGAACCTTGGAAGGGGTAGTGTTTTGTACGTTCCATCAACTCTATGGACATGACACTAGTGAGTGCCGAGATGCCAATCGACGTCCTGATCAAAGCAACCCGCACCCTTCTAGCAGGAACGAATACCCTCACAGATCTGCCTCCCTGAGGAGGGGGGAGAGGTCACAGGGAACAATCACCTCGGAGAAGAGAATCAAGGGATCGAGGTCAATCAAGACAGGGAAATCAAGCCCAATTTTCTGTAAGCCAGGTCATCAGGGAAATCGATACTATCATTGGGGGACCCAACGTCGGTGGCAACACCAGGAATGCCCAGAGAAATTACACAAGGGAAGCAAATGACCCACTAATGATCACTTACATTATCAACGAATCGCAAGCAGCAGATATGATGGCCCCAATCACCTTCTCCCAGGAAGACTCAAAGGGGGTTCACCACCCCCATTGTGATGCATTGGTTGTAAGAGCCGTAGTAGCTAGAAACGGATTAAAACGCATGCTCGTTGACAATGGCAGTTCCGTGAACATATTTTTCGGCTCCACTTTTAACAAAATACAAATTGAACATGGGTTGATCCCCATGATCGACCCACTATTCGGATTCACTGGGACAGCATCATCCCACGAGGGCGGATCACCCTGCCTGTTGAGATGGGTTCGGCACCCCTAGTGGCCCAGCACTTCATGGAATTTTTGTGGAAGATCACATATCGGCTTATCATGGAGTATTGGGGAGACCCGCTTTGAAAGATCTTTGAGCTGTCGCGTCCATCCACTACTTGTGCATGAAATTTCCAACCGAACATGGGATTGCTACGGTTCGAGGCGATCAGATGGGCTCCAGGGCATGCTACTTAAACTCGCTGCGAAAGTTCGAGCCCCAAACTGTTAATGTAATCCTAACTGAGGTACCCGCTGAAGTCAGCATGGACGTGGAAATGTTCGACTCCCCTGAACAAGGGCATACCTCTGAACAAGAGGGAGACGTCGACATGAAGAGGTCCCTGAACAAGGACACCCTCTTGATGAGTTAGATCCCTGAATAATTGACTCTGAACCAAATCGACCCCAATGGAAGAATTGGAGACTTACCCCGTCAACCCAGAAGACCCCAGTCAGGTCTTACGTATAGGAAAGTCATTGTCCTCTGAAGCAAAAGCAGAGATAATAAGCTTCCTGAAAGGGAACCAGGATGTCTTCGTATGGAAACATGAAGATATGGTGGGAATAGATCCTAGGATCAGTTGCCATCACCTTAATATCAACCCCTCCTATGCCCTCCATAGACAGAAGAGGGGTGCCCTCAATTCGGAAAGGTACGAGGCACTGAAAGACGAAGTAAACAAACTTAGCTGCAATGATTTCATAAGAGAGGTCATCTATCCAAGGTGGATATCCAACCCGGTCCTGGTGAAAAAGTCCAGCGGAAAGTGGAGGGCATGCGTGGACTTCACGAACTTAAATAAGGCGTGCCCCAAAGACAGTTTTCCACTTCTAAGAATAGATCAACTTGTGGATTCTACTGCTGGACATGAACTACTGAGTTTCATGGATACATACTCAGGATATAACCAGATACCCATGTTCTGACTTGATGAGGAAGCTACATCGTTCATTACGGATAGGGGTCTGTATTGCTACAAAGTTATGCCCTTCGGATTGAAGAATGCCGGAGCTACATTCAGAGGTTGGCCAACATGATATTTGCCGAACTCATTGGCAATACCATGGAGATCTACGTTGACGACATGCTGGTCAAAAGCCTCCAGGCAGCCGAACACGTGAGTCACCTCCACCAAACTTTTCAAATACTTAAAAAGTATAATATGAAATTGAATCCCCTCAAGTGTACCTTTGGAGTAGCATCGGGCCAGTTCTTGGGGTATATTGTCAATCAGAGAGGAATTGAGGCGAATCCAGTGAAAGTAATGGCCTTGCTAGAAATGAGGTCACCTTAAAAATCGAAGGAGGTCCAAAGTCTCAACGGTTGGATAGCCGCACTCAGTCGCTTCATCCCCAGAGCTACAGATAAAAGCTTGCCTTTCTTCAATGTGCTGAAACAAGGAAATAAATTCCAATGGACTTCGGAGTGTGAAGAAGCCTTCGAGACCCTGAAAAGGCACCTTGGAGAGGCACCCCTCTTGTTAAAACCTCGACCGGATGAGTCTCTACTGTTGTATCTAGCGGTTTCAGACGTGGCGATCAGCGCAGTCCTAGTCAGAGAAGAAAATGAGCG